GCCAGTCTGTTTCAAATTCATTGCGTTTTATGAGCTGCAATTAAGACTTAATTTTCAACTTTAAGTATTTTTATCACAAAGGTTAAGCTCAATTTTCTCACAGCTGTGGCGCAGTCGAAAGATATGGTAGATTTTTTCATTTTTTTCCAAAAATGGATGGCAACATTTTTTACTTATTTAATTCATACACTTATTAAATCTATATCAGTAAGGACAGTAGCACGCCGAGGCAATCCATCAACTCGAATGGATAGATTTTTGTGCCATAGTGATTGCGTAGACAAAAGTTCAGACTATGAAAAAACCCACCGATAGGGCCATGAAATTAAAATTTGATAGCCAAAAAATGTTGTTCGCTTCAAGAAATATAGATTTCGAGTCTCAGTAAATGGTACTCTCATAACCATAGACGTAGCGCAGACAGTAATTATTAACAAAAGCTGTGCAACCCAACGCTGAGTGTTTTGGCAGAGCTGGTGCTTAGAGACGTTGATGCGCATGAGTACCAACAGCATCGGATTTCTGCACTTACTGTCAGGAAAGTCTTAATAATTCCAGTTTTTTTAACAAATTTATTACATAATTAATAATTCTAATTGATGGATAAAAAAATATTCAAAAATTCACAAAAATACTATTGCGCACCTTCCTTCGCCCCTCAAAATAATTTTTTAGAATAATTCAGCCAATAAACTCCTCGCTCTTTTGCCAGTTCCTTTGTTTAGCAGTTTCTGTATTCGTAGCAATCAGCTTACTTGTAATCCAATGCTATCTGTGTAAAATTGAACGTCGTTTGGAGCAAAATTCGTCGCAAAACGTGTGATTATCTCGGCCCACGATAGACTTCGCACATCAATGCGCATCTGCATTTGCAGCCGACTTCCCTCAGCTCCTACAAAAACGCAAAAATTTATTCTGTAAATTGGTGGTATTCATTTTTTGGAACTTTTTAGTTTTTTCAGACATTTTCTACTGCCCTTTTTTGCAGTTTTATGCATTTTCATATCAATGTTGCAGCAAAAAAAACCGTCTAAACGAGTTTTTGTTCGCAACTAAAGATAAATCAGCCGCGAACTCGCATAGGCTTATTTCAAAAGCCCATAGTCTCGGCACATTCTTAGCACATTGTACTGTTATCACTAACAATTTTATAA